GTTTTATTTAGGTTTTCTATCTGAGAGAAATTGCAATATAATATAAGTATATTTTAGGATACTCATATATTTGGATCAAAAGGACCAAGAAAAATAACAATTTTATTGTATAATGTTGAAAAACCTATTCATCCATTAAAGGTTAATAGATTTTGTTTTTATTATCACGTTCAATTAAGTTTTATATGTTTTTGTTATAAAGGAAAATGAAACAATTATTGAAGAATGGCGAGCTGGACGTGCAACTGATTTAATTGAGATAAAAAATAAAACACCAGTATATAATGAAGGTTAATCAATATTAAATTTTATTTTTCTTTTATCTAAAAAATAATTCTTTTAATTTAGAAAGTAAAATATATAGTCTTGCATTACTTGAAAATCATGCAATACAACCATCGCATAAAAATTTTCAATTAGTGATTACAAATGGAGATCGTATGATGTTTTTTTTTTGTTTTTATTGAATAAAATTTATCATTTATGATTTGTTATAGATGAAGAAGATATTGTTATGCAATTTGGTCGTATTGATGACAATAATTTTGCTCTTGATTATCGATATCCTCTTACAGCTATGCAAGCATTTGCTATTGCATTAAGTTCTTTTCATAATCGATTTCGTACTTAAATTTTATTTATTCAATTTGAAAAACGATAAATTATGTATTATTAGTAGAATAATAGAGTGTGATTATTTAAACTAATTTATTTATTTTATTATTAAGGATATTTTCTTAATTAATAAAGATAAAAGAAATTAGTTTAAATAATCACACTCTATTATTCTACTAATAATACATAGTTTATTGTTTTTCAAATTGAATAAATAAAATTTAAGTACGAAATCGATTATGAAAAGAACTTAATGCAATAGCAAATGCTTGCATAGCTGTAAGAGGATATCGATAATCAAGAGCAAAATTATTGTCATCAATACGACCAAATTGCATAACAATATCTTCTTCATCTATAACAAATCATAAATGATAAATTTTATTCAATAAAAACAAAAAAAAAACATCATACGATCTCCATTTGTAATCACTAATTGAAAATTTTTATGCGATGGTTGTATTGCATGATTTTCAAGTAATGCAAGACTATATATTTTACTTTCTAAATTAAAAGAATTATTTTTTAGATAAAAGAAAAATAAAATTTAATATTGATTAACCTTCATTATATACTGGTGTTTTATTTTTTATCTCAATTAAATCAGTTGCACGTCCAGCTCGCCATTCTTCAATAATTGTTTCATTTTCCTTTATAACAAAAACATATAAAACTTAATTGAACGTGATAATAAAAACAAAATCTATTAACCTTTAATGGATGAATAGGTTTTTCAACATTATACAATAAAATTGTTATTTTTCTTGGTCCTTTTGATCCAAATATATGAGTATCCTAAAATATACTTATATTATATTGCAATTTCTCTCAGATAGAAAACCTAAATAAAACGATGAGTCAGTCGAAATAAACATGCATAAACCGAGCTCATATTTTTTTATTACCAAGGATAGAGGCATGTTCACACTTCAAATTCATATGAACAAGATTAGTGAGGACTATTGACTTCAATTAAAAAAATTTTACTTTTTCACAAACAGAAACAATAAAATAATATACAGGATAGTGTAAAATTCACTTCATCGAATAGAAAATTGAATGTTTCTATTACGACTTGAGCAAATCAGCTGATTTTTTCATCAAAAATAGAGACATGTTCATAGTTTAAATCTATATGGACAAGGTTATGAAAAGATTTGTAAAAGTATATTATTCTTTTCTGTCTGTGAAAAAGTAAAATTTTTTTAATTGAAGTCAATAGTCCTCACTAATCTTGTTCATATGAATTTGAAGTGTGAACATGCCTCTATCCTTGGTAATAAAAAAATATGAGCTCGGTTTATGCATGTTTATTTCGACTGACTCATCGTTTTATTTAGGTTTTCTATCTGAGAGAAATTGCAATATAATATAAGTATATTTTAGGATACTCATATATTTGGATCAAAAGGACCAAGAAAAATAACAATTTTATTGTATAATGTTGAAAAACCTATTCATCCATTAAAGGTTAATAGATTTTGTTTTTATTATCACGTTCAATTAAGTTTTATATGTTTTTGTTATAAAGGAAAATGAAACAATTATTGAAGAATGGCGAGCTGGACGTGCAACTGATTTAATTGAGATAAAAAATAAAACACCAGTATATAATGAAGGTTAATCAATATTAAATTTTATTTTTCTTTTATCTAAAAAATAATTCTTTTAATTTAGAAAGTAAAATATATAGTCTTGCATTACTTGAAAATCATGCAATACAACCATCGCATAAAAATTTTCAATTAGTGATTACAAATGGAGATCGTATGATGTTTTTTTTTT